GGGGGGGGGGGGCAGGATGAGCTGGAGACTGGGATTCGGGGAGTGACACACGTGGCCCTTTGGCGCGGCTGGAGTCTCCGTCCCGGGGACAGGAGCTGACGGCTGCTCTCGGGCTGGTCATGCTAGGGGGGCACGGCAAGGGGCAAGGGGGAGCACGGCCGTGGGGCGGGGCACAGCCAGCTACATTCCCGTCTGCGCCATGGGGCAGAGGGAGTGGGGCAGACAATCCTGTGGTGACAAGATCCCCGGAGCCCCCCGCAGGAACAGCCAGCAGCCCCCTTCCCTGCATGCTGTGGGTCACGCCCCTAACAAGGGCACACCCTCAGCACACAGGGGTGGGTCCAACCAGCCATTCACCCCCCAGCTTGAGGGGACCTGCCCAGGGGATCGTGCAGGGCGAGCCGTGGGGCCTGCTAGCTCTGTGGATGCGGAGGATCGAGGTGTGGACGGGGGGCTGCCCCCCGGCAGGAGCGACTCAGAGCCGGGACCCCAGGACGTCTCACTTCTCACTCCCCAGCAGCCGCCCCAGGCCCGTGCCGGCAGCAGGAGGGCGGGGGCCCAGCGGTTTCTCCGGGGCCTCACCTGAAGGCTGGTAACAGTCAGGCGCCGGGCGTCATGGCAGGGGGCCGCCGCCGGCACCACGAAGGGGCTTTCGGGAACATGCTCCTCGTTGAACTTCACTGACACCTCGTAGTCGCCTGGGGGGAGAGGGGTGTTAGCGCCGCCCCACGGCCGGCCCCCAGCCCCACTCCCAGGCAGTCCCCCCAGCCCCACTCCCAGGCCCCCAGCCGGCTTCCCAGCCAGTCCCCCAGCCCCACGGCCGGCCCCCCAGCCCCACGGCCTGTCCCCTGCCAGCCCCCCAGCCCCACTCCCAGGCCCCTGCCGGTCCCCCAACCCCACGGCCGGTCCCCCAGCCCACCTTGTAGCCACCTAGGGGGAGAGGGGGGTTAGCACTGCCCCAGCCCCACTGCCAGCCCCCACCACCGCATAGTTAACTGGGGGGTTCTCTGCCCCCAGGTCGACATCAGGGCTGGCCCAGCCACCCCGTAGGCCCCCATCCGTACCGGGCTCCTGGACGATGTAGGCCACGCCGCAGGACCCGTCTTTCCTGTCCTCGAAGGCGATCTCGGCCTTGCTGGGCCCCTCGACAGCGATGGAGAGACCCCCGGCGCCCGCCTCCCGCGTCCAGATGCTGAACTCGGCTGGGGAGGAGGCGGGGGGGGAGACGCTGTTACCCAGGCTGCTGTGCAGGCCCCTCCCTCACCCCCCCCTCCCCCAACAGCCTCCAGCACCCGCTTACCTGGCACGCCGGCCTCGGCCCGCTCCAGGCCAGGGCCCCCCGCCCGCACCTTGTGGGCACCGCCCTCGCCCAGCGGCCCGACGGTGAACTGGAAGGGGCTGCCGGGAACGTGCTGCCCCTTGTATTTGACGCTGACTGAGTGCACGCCCGTCTCGGCGGGCACGAACCGGACACAATAGGTGCTGTTCTCCGCCTCCAGCACCTCGGCCGCCAGCCGCTGCCCCGAGGGGCCCGTCACCTGGGCCGTCATGTCCGCCAGGCTGATCTCTGGGGGTAAAGGGGGGTCAGACGCCCCATAGCGCCCCCCCACTGAGTGTCCCCTGACCCACCAGCCCCCGCATGATCTCCCAACCGGCCCCCCAGAGCCCTTGCCCCCAAACACAAGCCCCCTCCTGCCCCCAAGCCCCCTGCCCCAGCTCACCTGGGATCTTGAGGCTGAGGTCGCAGGCGCTGCCCACGTTGGCCACAGGGGGAGCGCGGCGTCGCCGGGTGATGCTCTCTTTCACCCGCCCCTCGCCTGTCACCTTCACCGAGAAGGGGCTCCCTGTGGGGGGGAGGGGTCAGGCAGGGCTGGGCGGCCACAGACAGAGCCCCACAGCACTTCCTGGGGTCACCCACGCCCCCCACAGGGCCTAACGCCCCCTGGACCCCCCACCCCAGGGGTCGCTCTGACCACGTATCGCTGGGGAAGGTGGCGTGGCCCCCTATGCCGGCCGAGTGCCCTGCAGGGACAGGCCCCCCCGGGGGCAGAGCCCGGGCCCCCAGCTCCGCGCTGGGCCCCCCACCTGGCACGTGCTGGTCAGCAAATTTGATGGAGATGATGTAGTTGCCGGGCTCCGTGGGGCAGTAGGTAACGCGGCAGGTCCCGTCCTCCAGGTCTTCCGTGTTTATGTCCACCTTGCTGGGGCCCTCGATGGACAAGCTGAGCCCGCCATAGCCTGGGGGCACAGGAGGGAGTGGGGGGTCTGCAGGCCTTCCAAGCATCCCCCCCTCGCAGAGAACCCAGGAGTCCTGGCTCCGAGCCCCCTGCTCTAACTCACCAGACCCCACTCCTCCCAGAGCAAGGAGAGAACATAAGAACAGCCCTACTGGGTCAGACTAAAGGTCCATCCAGCCCAGTGTCCTGTCTGCCGACAGTGGCCAATGCCAGGTGCCCCAGAGGGAATGAGCAGAACAGGGAATCACCAAGTGATCCACCCCCTGTCGCCCATTCCCAGCTCCTGGCAAACAGAGGCTAGGGACACATCCCTGCCCAGCCTGGCTAATAGCCATTGATGGACCTATCCTCCATGAACTTATCTAGTTCTTCATTGAACCCTGTTATAGTCTTGCCCTTCACAACATCATCTGGCAAGGAGTTCCACAGGTTGACTGTGCGTTGTGTGAAGAAATATTTCCTTTTATTTGTTTTAAACCTGCTGCCTATTAATTTCATTTGGTGACCCCTAGTATCTCCCCTTAGCTGTCTCTTTTCCAAGCTGAAAAGTGCCAATCTTCTTAATCTCTCCTCATACGGAAGCCGTTCCATACCCCTAATCATTTTTGTTGCCCTTTTCTGAACCTTTTCCAATTCCAATATATCTTTTTTGAGATGGGGCGACCACATCTGCACGCAGTATTCCAGATGTGGTCGTGCCATGGATTTATATAGAGGCAACATGATATTTTCTGTCCAATTATCTATCCCTTTCTTAATTATTCCCAGTATTCGGTTTGCTTTTTTGACTGCTGCTGCACATTGAGTGGATGTTTTCAGAGAACTATCCACAATCACTCCAAGATCTCTTTCTTGAGTGGTAACAGCTAATTTAGACCCCATCGTTTTATACGTATAGTTAGGATTATGTTTTCCAATGTGCATTACTTTGCATTTATCAACATTAAATTTCATCTGCCATTTTGTTGCGCAGTCACCCAGTTTTGTGAGAGCCTTTTGTATCTCTTCGCAGTCTGCCTGGGACTTAACTATCTTTAGTAATTTTGTATCATCTGCAAATTTTGCCACCTCACTATTTACCCCTTTTTCTAGATCATTTATGAGTATGTTGAATAGGACTGGGCTCAGTACAGATCCCTGGGGGACACCACTATATACCTCTCTCCATTCTGAAAACTGACCATTTATTCCTACCCTTTGTGTCCTGTCTTTTAACCAGTTACCGATCCATGAGGGGATCTTCCGTCTTATCCCCGGCAGCTGACTTTGCGTAAGAGCCTTTGGTGAGTACACTATAGCCACTGGATCCCCCTTGTCCACATGCTTGTTGACCCTCTCAGAGAATTCTAGTAGATTGGTGAGGCGTGATTTCCCTTTACTAAAACCATCTTGACTCTTCCCCAACAAATTATGTTCATCTGTCTGACAATTTTGTTCTCTACTATAGTTTCAACCAATTTGCCCAGTACTGAAGTCAGGCTTACAGGCCTGTAATTGCCGGGGTCACCTCTGGAGCCCTTTTTAAAAATTGGCGTCACCGTAGCTATCCTCCAGTCACCTGGCACAGAAGCTGATTTAAATGGTAAGTTACAAACCACAGTTAGTAGTTCTGCAAGTTCTTTCAGAACTCTTGGGTGAATCCCACCTGGTCCTGGTGACTTATTGCTGTTTAATTGATCAATTTGTTCCAAAACCTCCTCTCAGGACACCTCAATCTGGGACAGTTCCTCAGATCGGTCAGCTAAAAAGAACCCAGGAGTCCTGGCTCCCAGCCCCCCCGTTCTAACCCATCAGACCCCACTCTGCTCCCGGAGCTGGGAGAGAACCCAGGCGTCCTGCGGCCGCACCTGCGTCCCGGGTGTCGATGAGGAACTCAGCCGGCTCAAAGGTGCGCCCCTCGCTGAGGCCAGGCCCCGAGACGCGGACCCGGCTGGCGTCACCGATCTCTGACTGGCTGATGGTCACCGTGATGGGGCTGTTGGGGATGTGTTGCCCGTTCCGCTTGATGTTCACCAGGTGCTCGCCCACCTCCTTGGGCACGAACGAGATGCCTGGGGGAAGTCGGGAGTGAGGGGCACCGGCAGGCTTGGGGGGCACTGGCTCGGGGGGGGGGGGGGGGCTCAGCCACGTGGCCGTTGCGTAGGCGTTTGAGCTGGCAGGGCTCCTCGCGCCCTGACGGGGGGGTGACGGTCGCCGTCAGCTGGCTCAGATCCGTCTCCGCGATGTCCAGGGGGATGTCGGCCGAGGAGCCGACCTTCAGCTGGGACATTCGCAGCGTGTCGTCGCCTGGGGTTGGGGTTGGGGGGCATAAGCCGAGGGGATCCCCAGCCCCAGCCCCTGTCCACCCCCCCCAACCCCAGCCCCCGCTCTCCAACCCCTCCATCCACCCCACCCGGCCCCTCCCTCCCGCCCCCCAACGCCAGCCTGTTCCCCCCCAGCCATTCCGCAGCCCAGGAGAGAAAACCATGCCTCCAGCCCCCTCCCGTGGACCCACCCCCAGCCCCGCCCCCCCAGGGAGCCCCCGCTGACCGGTGATGCGGGCGGTGAAGGGGCTGCCCGCGATGTGCTTCTCGTTGTATTTCACCACGATGCTGTAGTCGCCGGGCAGCACGGGCAGGTAGGAGACGCTGCAGGTGCCATCCTGGTTGTCGGTGCAGCTGATCTCGGCCTTGGAGGGGCCCTCAACTGCCAGGGACAGCCCACCTGCAGGGGGAGGGGTCAGCGTGGCCCAGCCCCCGCCCCCAACCCCAACCCGGCACCATCATGGGAACGGACAGGTCAGGGCCTCCCAGCCCCCGCGGCTCTAACCACCAGACCCCACTGCCCTTCTGTAGTCGGGGAGGGAACCCAGGCGTCCTGGCTCCCAGCCCCCGCGGCTCTAGCCCACCAGACTCCTCTACCCTCCTGGTTTCTCCCCCAACCCCCTCCCCCCACTCTAACCACCAGACCCCACCCCACCCCCACCCCAAGCTGGGGAGGGAACCCAGGCGTCCGGCCTCACCTTCGCCGGCGTCCTTGGTGTTGACAGTGAAGGTGGCCGGCTTGTTGACCACGCCGTGGATCAGCCCTGGGCCGTAGGCCGTGACGTGCCCACTGTTGACGTAGTCCACGTAGAACTGCAGGGGGCTCCCTGGGGGGCACGGGGGGGGTGTCAGAGCCTGCATCGGCCCTTACCCCCAGCCACGGCCCCCCCACCGCTCCCTGAGGCACCTGGGACGTGCCCCCCCCCCCCGGCACCGGGGACGGGCCCCCCCCCCAGCACCTGGGATGTGCAGGCTGTCACAGCGGATGTCCATCTCGTGCAGCCCGGCCTCCGTGGGCGCGTATCTCACCGTCACAGTCCCGTCCTTGTTGTCTGTGATGTCGGGCTTGGCCACCTTCCCCGAGGGCATCCGGACCTCGCCTGGGGGCAGAGCGCGGGCGGCGGGGTGTCAGTCCTGGCCCACGGCTGCCCCCCGCCGGGGAGACATGGCCCCTCTGGGCTGGTTATACAGGCCTTGAGCCCGGAAAGGGGGGGGGGGTGATCCCCTCCCCCTGCAATGCAGCCCCACTGGAGACGGGACGTGACACCCCAATAGTCACCCGCCCCGGAATTCGCATGTTTTGTGCACAGTGTGCCTGAGGAGGGGCCGTTCTCAACGTCTTGATCTGCTCGGCCGCAACAGCCCGTCGGATCGTGTGTGTGTGTGGGTTACTGAAATGTGTGTGGGGTGTGTGTGGTGGGTGTTTTCAACCTCCCGACAAGCAGCCTTTCAGGGAGGACAGTGAAAAGGCCAAACCCCGGTGGCTCATTGGGGAAACACGCACACGCCCCAGGGACCGAGACAGCCCAACCCCATAGGAAGTGTGGGGCCCAGGTAAGAGCTTTCCAGCAAGTGGGGAGAAGCTAGAAAAGGGGGACGATGACATCAGAGGGGCCCTCGCTCTCCCTGCAACGACACACGGAAACCCCGGAGGGGCAAGGACTAAACGGGGGACGTGCTGGTCCCAGGCGAAGGGATTTTTCTCCTGGGCATGAAAAGCTGGGAGAGCCGAGGCAGCTTGTGCCGCAAGCCCCAGCCGGCCTGTCCGTCGCGCCGGGGGAGCACTGGCCGATTGACACCCCAGTGAGGGTGCGACGCTCCGTTTGGGGGCTGTTTATTTGGTGGGTGAGCTGCTTCCATCTGCCGCTCTCCCTTAGCGTCGCTTCTGGACTCTCTCTTGGGCTGGTTTTGTCTAAGGCCAGTGTGTGGAAATCGGACCTGGGGGCCGAAAGCCGGGCAGATCCCTCTCCACATCGTGGCGGGGGGGGGGGGGAATGTCCCGAGCTGACGCTGGGCCGATCCCAGGGCAGCACCCGACGGTCCCAGCTGGGGGTCACTTGAGTAACTGGGCAGCTCCTTAGCGAGCTCCCCAGGCAGAGCTGATCTCAGCGTGTGTGAGAAGCCGCAGCTGGGGGTGTCCCTACCTGTGTCTGAGCGTGGGAACTTATCACAGCACCCCAGTGCGAGGGGGAGCCCAGGCTGGTGGGTCGGGGGGCTCAGTGGTACCCCAGTTCCAAGTGGCACCCCGGGGGGAACCTGTCACACAGGACGCCAGGCCCAGAGGGGCCCATGGGGGCGATCCCAGGGGGGCACAGGACAACCAGGCCGGATGCTGGGCCAGAGGGGAAGGGATTACCAGGCCGGACGCCAGGGTTAATGGGCCCAAAGGGCTGCTCTGGCTATATTAGGGTCTCCCCTGTTCTAGGGGACCCCGAGTGGGGCGGGGGGAACCAGCTGCCAGCGAGGGGGAGAGTCTGTTGGATGTCAAATGCCGCCTCCAGGGGACGCAGACCCACAGCACCAGCCCCCCAGACTTACCCGTGATCTCCCCCTTCTTGATGGTGAACGGAATGACCAGGTCAAACGGCCGCAGCCCGGCCACGTCCAGGCCATTGACTCCCATCAGGGGACGGTCCGTGGCCTGCGAAAAGACCCGTGAGACACCCCCCAGGAAGAGCAGTGAGGGGGGGGTTGCTGTACGGAGAGCTGGGGAGGCCTGGCCTGCCCCCAGAGGCTACATGGGCCCTGGAACAGCCCGGAGGGGGGCTCCCACAGCACCCAGCTGGGAGGGTGTGCCCAGCCAGAGTCCAGAGTGCGAGCAAGTTTCGAGTCTGGGGAGATAGGCTGCGTTGTCGTTACTACGTGGCCTGTCTGGAGCGTCATGTGTCACGGCGCTGGGCTGCGACACCAGGACGGGGAGAGGCGAGCC